CCTCGCTTTGTTGGCTGGTTGATGTTCAGGCCAACATGTTCGTTTTCCGCTGAACTGTTCACCCGACAGGCGTGCAGGTCAGCTTCGCCACACAGTCTGCGCACATAGGATTCGTAAAATTGGCGCAGGACGGTCTCGGCGGTGGGCGCAGCCAAAAGCTGCAGTCAACGTCGGATTCGGAATATCGCCAGCGCCGTACTCTTCGTGCTGGAGAGTGAGCGGGGCTTCAAACAAAATGCGCCCCCCCCCCCCCCATCCCGCCGAGTCACGCTGGCCAGGTGACTGGCGCCCCGTAGTCTGCCTAATAGCGTCCAGATAGTAGGACAGGTGAGCTCTGCTCTCGCCTAGTGGGTTTCTCACCAGCTGACCAGTGATGACAAAGCGTGCGTCCGACATGTCCGACCATCGGTGGCATCGCGGAGCAGGACTCCATGCAGTTCGAACAGCGCTCCTGCTCGTCACTCTTGCTTCTGCTCCTGCTCGACTCCAGCTCGGGAGACAGCGCTCGCCCGGCGTGGTAACGCGGCGCACAGCGTGACGCGCTGGGTGAGGCGAGCACGCCCATCCAGGCTCCACTGATCGAGTCTGACGTTGGTCACGTGGTTCGGTGCGGCACACTGCACACACTGCAAAACACACTTCGCACCAACACTGAACATATGATTCAGCATGTTGTAAGGCACATAGTTGCATTCTAGCCGACTACACAGCGGGGACTGGTATACAACTTCATAGCTTACACTACTATCACGGCGCAAGCATCATTCCACTAATGAACCCCCCCGAGCCCGCCAACTTTCGACGAGTTCGTGCTTGCCTCGTGCCCAGTTTCCAGCAACGTTTAAGAACCACTGGCGACGGCGTGCATTAGCAAATCGGTGGCCGAGTCCCGCGACGACACAGGTCACAGAACAAGTCACCTCGAAACGCGCAATAATTCGCCCCAGTGCCGGCCTCCAAAAGTGCCACCAACAATCACTGAACAGCCCATCACCCATCAAGCGCCTGCCAGACCCGGCCCCACTTATAGCCCCCCCCCCCCCCCATAATCGGCCCGGACGTGCGCACCGTCGCTGTTCCTCGCCGCGTTGCCCGCACGGTACCCGCCTACCGCTGCTTGACCTTCTGACCGACGTCGGCACGGAACAGCATGTGCCGGTAGAGCGCCAACCAGCAGTAGAGCACGCCCAGCGCGCAGTAGAGCGAGGTCAGTAGCAGTGGCACGAACGGCCAGCGTCCATGCAGGCCAAGCAACCGGTGGCCGACGGTGTGGTACAGCACGAGCGGCGCCAGGCCAGCCAGGTAGGCCGCCTGGGGGCGCGACAGTGCCGCGCCAGTCGCAGGCAGTGCGTGCGCCGCGTACCCGGCGTGCAGGAGCGCGGCCAGCACCTTGCCCAGCGTCTCTGCCGGCCCATGCAGCAGCGGAAACAGCGAGACGTGCGCGGCAGCCGAGAGCAGCAGGTAGAGGCGCGCTTCGGTCTGCGAGCGCAGCGCCAGGACCGCCAGCGGCACCACCGCCAGCAGCAGCGCCTTCTCGTGCACGTGCCAGCCGAACAGGAACGAGCCTAGCGCGCACTGGACGAGCGCGCGCAAAAAGGCAGCTGTGTCGGCCGGTCGCCGCCAGCAAGCCACCAACGCCGGCAGCATGGCGGCGCCGCTTAGCAGGAAGGTGGCCGTCGGGGGGACGGTCGGCAGCAGGGCGTGCGACGTCTCCTGCACCAGGCCGCCCGTCATGGCGGCGACGCCGGGCGGCACTGGTAGGCCCAGCCAGCCAGCTGGGGACGGGTACCGCCCAGTCAGTCGGCGGCTCGTGACACACACACACACACACGCATACGCACACACACACGCACACGCACACGCACAAGCACACGCGCACGCACGCATGCACGCGCGGCGAGCGAGCTACACTCATGAGCTGTGCTAAATGCCGGGCAGCAGCTGTCCCGCGAGCCGAATCGACATCGGTTGCTGATGTCACAGAGGTATTAGCCTTGACCTAGCATGTGCAGATCAACTTAAACAGAAATTATCCACATTTAAGGATATTCAAGCAAGCATGAGAAAATGAAATAAGCTCGCTTAAACTATTGGTATACTTCTGACCCGAAATATTGGTGCTGGCCACACAGCCTATGTATTGAGTAAATATGATCCTAAATAAGTTATTGTTTGGTTGGCGCTATGGAACGTTTGCACGACGTTCAGATGCTGCCACATAAGCCGTCCGAAATCACCACCCTGGCACTCATTTGTAGTGCTTCAATCTTCCGCGAGTGGCTGTGGCTATGCTGAAGATGTTTTGCTGAGCCAAAGTCGTCCAACCCTCCAGTTTTTGGCCATTTTTCGTGGTGTTCTTTACATATTTAACCGACGAGTTTAAGCTGTTCACTTGCATCCACATATTCGCTACGACGCTTTTCTCAGGTTATTCGATTACACGTCCTATTTTCGTCACAAGTGAGCCAACATGTCCAATTTCTTATATCACGTAGCACCAAACGCGATTGGTGATTGAAACATGCGCAGCCGAATGGGCATTGACTGAGAGCCAGTTGATATCCACTTTATATAGAATCGTGCTCGCAGACACCAGATGTAAACGGTTAGACGATACAATTATTTCTAGCCTCGAGTGCCGCGTGGCTTACGAGGGTGACATCATTTCAATGACGTTTGTATAGGTGCCATGCATGCCTGAATGACCTTGAAATAATCAGTACGAAACGAGGCCTGCACATCTTCGCGGGCGTGTAGGTCAGGAACTACAGGGTTTTAATTCTTATGAAAGGCAGGGTTTTAAATTGCACTAATATATCCAAAATGGCTCTCAGTGCAAAGTCACACACAAGTATGGAACATTTCCTTAATGGCAAGTAGTGTATAAAACAGCTGTACACTAATTGCTAGTTATGCTGATCTGAGCATGACTGGTCGAGGCCAATCCATTTCTGATGTCCAGCTCATCAGTAATTGGGGATCTATTCCGTGCGCGCACGTGTTTTCAGAGATTGTGTTGTAACTAAATAAGTGAATGAAGTAAGTCCCGTGAAAAGTCCATTCATACATTGGTTTGCATTTGTTTATGGGAACGTCCATGGCTCCTCTAAGTAACAACACAGAAGACTTCAAGAACGTCTGATGAAGACCACATACGTTTGGTTGCAATATAAAGACACAAATCAGGCAGATTGTTTTGGTATCCGGCTTGCAATTATATCAGCAGTCTAATAGATACAAGCTGAAATACCTTGCTGTACTCAACTGCCCTCCGCATGGGCACATAGTACCACGACCAAAAGAACATGGATACTTCGGCATAATACCAGCCACGCTTTCCTTACAGTCATGCGTTTGATGTGCACAAAGGAATCGGGCGGGTAAAGAAGTTCCAACCCCCCAAAAGGCTGCTTTTAGATGTGTTGGTAGAGATTTCACTGTCATAAGCAGTGCTTGCTTTTTCCATTTTCATTTCAATTTGCAATTTTTAAATCATCTCAGTTTTATGTCAGACATAGCCGCTTCTATGTTATCCGCCTACAAGCAGGGACGTGGTCTCGCAAAATGAACTGGTGGGGGGGGGGGGGGGGTGAGCAGCCAAAATGAAACAACATACGCACCCACCTACAAATCTGCCAACAAACATGTTTCTCATCGAGTTCGCCCACTTTCTCCTCAAATCGTGGGGAGCCTAAGTAAGGAGGGGGGGGGGGGGGGACTGAAGCCCCCCCCCCCCAACTGAATAGGAAACCGCATCCCCATCTCCAAGTACCACTCATTTACAAGCTCTTGCTGTGCCACCACACGCAAATGATTTTCTTCCCGCGATCTTTTCCACCTCCCCTTTTTGAGATCTTGTATGTTGCACATCGCAGCTGCCACATGGAATCTTTTTATCGTCACCGTGCTTTATTTCCCCGAGTTATTGGACCGGGTCCGCGTCATCTAATACCTTGAAGAAATGCAGGCGCCCGGCCAGAGAACTAAACCACCGCGCACTCCGTACATCTGTGCCACATCCGGCAGCCTCGAATCACTCACGGAATGCGGCGTTGCAAGAAGCATTCGGCCGTGGCCCGAGTTTGCCCGCCGAACGTCGATGCGCTTACTCACCGGCGGCCACGGCCAGCTTATCGGCCAGGTTGTACAGCACCCAGAAGTTGGGGGCCAGTAGGCGTGGCACAGACCCGCGCTTGAACGGGAAACAGCCGCGAGAGCACCTGGCGGCAGCGGTCCACAGGTCCAGGCGAGCACACGGCGCGTGCTGCAGAACGTTTTGTCGCTTGGCTGCCACCACTAACAGACCATGCTCTTCTTAACAATTGCATTCCTGTTTTACACACACCAAAAACAGACTAGGCCTTTCATGGCGTACCACGGCAAGTGACATAAACCACAACTTTCATTAAGCAGCGTGGCTACTGTACTATGGCTGGCTGGCTCATGAAGTGCATGAAATGCATCTTCACAAATCGCAATTCCTAGGATCGTTTATGAATTACTGACTTTGTTGGCGTTCCATGGTCGATAAAGACTGAAATTGCAATCAAACAAATAATACTGATACAATAATAAACATGACATAAAGATGAACACTTCTCCAGTCAAAGGAGGAAGACACGGACGCCGTAAGGGACAGCTATCCATCCGGTGCTGGGCCGCTGGCATCGTGCCAGCTTCCGGTTGCAATCCATACGGATAACTGCGGCAACCCAGTAGCCAACAGCCGTTATGTGCCCAGCACACAAATGGCGAGACTGACTGGCACGCGTCCTCGAGTGCGTCTCCCACCCCGCCGACGACCAGCCGGAGTGACCAGACAGACCGACGGCTTCCAGCGCGACCTGACCGACCTCACCTGGGGAAGCTGGCCGAGGGCGGCGAACGGCCGAGGGAGACGGCGAACACGCCCAGCACCACCAGGCCAAGAGGAGGGTGTGCGCCGGACGCGGCCGTGGCAGCCAGCCGCCGGCCGGTACTCGGACGCAGTAGTTGCGCCAGCAGGAAGACGAAATAGGCCGGCGCCAAGTACAGGAAGATATGCTTCATGTTCAGCAGCACGGTGAATAACAGCGCAGACTTCAGGTAGCGGCCCTGAACGCGACAGATGGGCACACGGTCAGCTGGACACAGGACGGTATTCAAAACGAGCCTATATTAAGCGTCCTGAGCTGAACAAGTCAAAAGCACTTTGAACTCACCTGGGCCTGGTCAGTCACCTGGGTCAACTGGATCAAAGTCACCTGGGCTGTATTGCACGTCATAATCGGAAAAGAGAAACGACGATCTTTTCACAGATCGCAACTAAGTATAAGTCGCAGTTCAACGCTGGCGGCATAAGGCCGCCACACCGGACTGGGGGAGCTCAGCATGCCGCATCTGAGGCGTGTTGTGCACCTTGGGCGGCAGCGGCGGGCCTCGCCCCGCCACACACTGCACGGAGAAATCGGCGCCCCTACAATCCGGTCATGAGCCTCACCTGGGTCATACAGGCATAGCTCATCAACAGCAGTCCCAGGAGCAGGCCGTTGTATTGAAAGTGGATGTGGTCGACAATCAGAAGACCGGCACTACCCAGGGTCAGGACGGCCAGGCGCACCCGCGCCGAGGTCAGATGCGTGCCCTGACCTGGTACCGTGTCAGCACACCTGGGACATGGTCACGCGTCAACAGATACATCCGTGACGAGGTCAGGTGCGTGCCCTGACCTGGTACCGTGTCAGCACACCTGGGACACGGTCACGCGTCGACAGATACATCCGTGACGAGGTCAGGTGCGTGCCCTGACCTGGTACCGTGTCAGCACACCTGGGACATGGTCACGCGTCGACAGGTACATCCGCGCCGAGGTCGGGTGCGTGCCCTGACCTGGTACCGTGTCAGCGCACCTGGGACACAGTCACGCGTCAACAGGTACACGTGCGAGTATTTGCTGTCAGATGCGTGTCCTGACCTGGTGCTGCGTCACCACACCTGTGGTAGTTTCAAACATCACCATCAGCTTGTTACGTACTAATCTAAACGTGAGCTTTTTTGCGATATCTGTTCAAAGATAATGAAATGAAAGGGAAGCTGGGAAGCAATACTGGCACATGGAAGTATGGAATGCTTTGGCTTATATGACATAGTTACGCAGTGTTTTGTGACTTCACGCATTGAGAAAATAACAATCGAATAATGTGATACGCCGTGACCTCAGACGTCCAGGCATTATTTACCTATTCACTGAGGACATAAGCAGCCCACAGGCAAAAGCCAAATGCGAAAGCAGCTCAATTAAAAAAAAACGATGACTAGTCTACGTGATTTATTTTTGGTACAGCTGACATCCAGTAGATCAGAAGCCTTTTCCAAATGACCCCTCTTTCGCTGTTATTTTGGCATGTCGTACATTCCCAATGGGTTGATTGACTTCCATTAAGCCACCTGGACAACGTTAACGTCACCTGAACGACGCTAGTGTAAGCTAACATCGCTAGTGTAAGCTAACATCGCTGGCGTTCGCCAGCCAGGTGCCACTGACACATGCCATCAGGCCAATTCTCCCCCACACCTCAGCGTCACGTACACTAACGTCCAACATGCATTTATATCTAGCCTTCCGCGAGACACTTCGATCGGTACTACATCAACGCAACCTTCGCTGACTGCTTTCTAAGGAATCGCATGACGTGCCTCGGGCCTGAGAGGCATCTGACAGCACAAGTCACATCAAGCAACAACACAATAATCGCCTGTCATATGAAGCTCGATCAGAAATGATAGCTCAATTTTCTGCAGCAAAACATTCTGCGCGGATCTGACAGATGGATCGAAGCACAAGCGCACAAGGAGCGGATCCAGCCTGCCCGAACCTCTGCTCCAGAGTCGACGGCAAGCGGCGCCGAGGCCGACCGGAGACGGACGGCGGGCCCGGAGGAGCGCCCGTCGCCGGGACTGTCCCAGAGGGCGGGTGTTGTGCACCAGTGCACCGGAGAATGCCGCCAAACAGCACAGACCGCAGCACTTGCCCGCCCGCGGGTGCACCGGCCGTAAACAACGAGAATGGGGGGGGGGGGGGGGCACTGCCACACGACTTTCGGGTCATACAAAGGGCATAAAACAAGTTTCGCCATCCGGGTCAACTCTATACCAGTGGGGTGCCTCCCCCACACCGGGCACTTTGCCCCGCCCACGCCGGGCACTTTGCCCACGCCCACGCAGCATGTGACCACCTTTTCGTCATAACTTTTGTATTGTTTGCTGTATTTTTCCACAACTTCGAAAGTATCTTATTTGCGTATTTTTACCCTTTACTTGTGAATTTCAACATCGTGGTCTCAATAGTTTTCGATATGATCCTAAGTGAAAATTCAACATGTAGCATGTCGCAACATCATTCAACATAAAAAAATCGTGTCGATTGCCCTTGGGCCTTTTGATTTGGGGGAAGCGTCGCTAGTGAAACCTCGATGGGATCTCTGTTTAGATAAATGCGAATAATAAGATCTTTAACGCTCTTTACACCAGCCGATCGGTGACGTCTTCCAGACGCCCTCTTCATTACTGTGCGCGTCACGCAGCTGTGGGCACCGCGCACAACGTCTCGGCAGACTGCTGGAGCTCGTCGCTCAGATTGGGAGCTGTGGGCACCGCGCGCAACGTCTCGGCAGACTGCTGGAGCTCGTCACTCAGATTGGGAGCTGTGGGCACCGCCCACAACGTCTCAGCAGACTGCTTGAGCTCGTTGCTCAGATTATTCTCACTTTTTCCGTTCTATTTTTCAGTTCACAGATGGTTGTGCGTGTGTGTTAAGTTCACTTGCAGCATCCTGACAGTACGAACCCAGTGGAATGGTCTAGAGAATCTTCGACCGTTCGATATACAAGGACCGACCGGAAGCATTTTCTGCTTCTCTAGAGGGAACCTTCTCTAGGTGAATGTTCAACCAATCGTTGGCCTGGAAGGCCGAGTAAGGTGGCACGCTGTATTGCTGGGAAAAACTGACCATCGACTGATATTCCTCTTCCTTCCAAGTGCAGCCTGCAATTCGTGCATCCCCTCGACGTGACAGAATGAGCTGATCCAAATGGAGGCGACAGTTCAAGAGAACACGCTGATCCAAATGGAGGCGACAGTTCAAGAGAACACGCTGATCCAAATGGAGGCGACAGTTCAAGAGAACACGCTGATCCAAATGGAGGCGACAGTTCAAGAGAACACGCTGATCCAAATGGAGGCGACAGTTCAAGAGAACACGCTGCAGGCATACCATGAATCCCCTGCTAAGCACGTCAAGCTGCATCGATAGGCAGCGGAAGTATCAGCATGACTGCGAGACCGGCCCGTTCAAATGTCGCATAACTTTGTCATAATTTTAACAAAAATACCTAATTATTTGGAAAAGATGTTTCGTGGTTTGAGGAGCACGCTAGTGAACAATACAGTGAGCAATACAATACGCTAAGCAATACAACAATACATTGAGCGGCTAACCTAATATCGTGACAGCAAAGACACAGTTAAAAACGTGATCAAATGAAAACATCGTTTCCGATACCCTCGTGGTAATCGGCTATGTTTAATACAGTTAATTTCCATGAGAAACGATGCTGCAATTATGTTATGAAGTACGGCATGGAAGAGCTTCCAGAGCTAACGTTCCTCACCTGGAACGCATCTCGTGTCCCAAATCAAAATGCCGGGGAACAGCCGTACGTGCTTGTCGAAAATCGCGAAAGAGAGACAACTCGTCTAAGCTTTCTTCACAAGTCCCCACTTCGCCCGGTGTCCACAATCGGAATAACGCAACAAACTCGCGAGCACATCCGCAAGCCTGAACAATACGTGCCGATGTTGTACCGCTTAAAAATACTCATGGTCGACATCAACGACAGAGTGATGCTTCGGGTGGAACGACTGAGAGCGCGAACGGCCCGGAGCCTCGGCGCCCCGCTGTTGGCACCGGCGTTGGAAGGCCGGCACTCGGCGCGCGAGCGGCGACGCCGTGTCCGCCCTAGGCACTGGACCGGCACCGGCGTTCGAAGGCCGGCACTCAGCGCGCGAGCGGCGACGCCGTGTCCGCCCTAGGCACTGGACCGACACCGGCGTTCGAATGCCGGCACCCGGCGCGCGAGTGGCGACGCCGTGTCCGCCCTAGGCACTGGACCGGCACCGGCGTTCGAAGGCCGGCACTCGGCGCGCGAGCGGCGACGCCGTGTCCGCCCTAGGCACTGAACCGGCACCGGCGTTCGAAGGCCGGCACTCGGCGCGCGAGCGGCGACGCCGTGTCCGCCCTAGGCGCTGGACGGGCCGCTGCCAGACTTGGCCTGGTCTTCGGGCGAGAGCGGGGCCGGAGCAGAGACGGGCAGCGACCATGTGCGCCGCCAGATGACCAGCCGGTGCAGCGCCCGCTCGCCGGCGCGGATCACACCGAACAGCGAGAGGCCCAGCAGGATGCTGATGGTGCCGCCCAGGTCCGAGATCAGGTCACCGCTGTCCAGGCCGATGAACTCCTGCACCTGCTGTTTGGAGGAATCGACCAACAGGTGGAGTGAGGCGTTGGGCGCCGCCGGGTGCCGGTCGTCGCGTCGGTTCAGCACCAAGAAGTTGCGCAGCAAGCAGGGCCGCAGGCAGTGACAGCGTGCCGTGGTCGTGGCCAGCAGCGCACTGTGCAGACGGCGCAGCGGCCGCCAGCGAGTCGCAGACCGGAGAGCGACGATAGCTGCTGCCAGGCGCCGCGGCAGCCCGTCTTGGTGGCTGCTCGCCGCCAACGGCAGTCGGACCAGCACTGCAACGGCGACCGCATCTCAGCGACGGGCTCAGACGCCGCACACCGGCGGCGGCGACGACAGCAGGCGACACCAGTCTGGCCGGCGCTCCGAGTCTACGTGTCGCAACACCGTGACGTTCGCAACGTGACGACCATTCCAAATCAGCGAGCGCCCCCTGCCCAAAGATGGAAGCGGAACAACCGGAACGAACATGGACGCCAGAATCGCAGGCCAAAAACGGCGAGTAGGGCTGTTTTGGAGGACACAACCAGCTTCACAAAAAACTGCAGCTCGGTCCACATCCCTGCGACATCGGCCGGACATCTAACCTGGATCTGGTCGTAGTTGGGGTCGGGCTGGCAGGGCGAGCGGCGCGTGGAGACGCGTCGGAATTCGCGTAGCACGAGCGTGGCGCGCACCCAGGCGCCGGCCTCCAATGTCAAGCCGCTGAGCGTGGGTGTCAGCTGACCTGGTATGGTCGGCGCGCCGCCGCGGCCGTGAAGCAGCACTACCACGGCTGGCTGGCCGGCGAACACGGTGCCGTCAAGCCGCAGCTCGAGGCGCAGCGAGCCGCGCGCGCCCGCCAGCGGCCGGTACGTGTCGCACACCAGCCCCGGGGGTAGACGGCCGTCTCCCAGCGGCCGAGCCGGCCGCCGTCCGAGCACTGGCGCCGCCGCAGCCCGGCGCCGCCCACGCAGAAGGTGATGCGGCCCCATACGCCGCGGTCGCCGGCTTCCACCAGCTGACGTTCGGAGAGGCGGCCGGCCGCCCACAACCAGCTGCCCTCCGCCAGCTGGAACGTCTCCGTCACGGCCGGGCAGAAGCTGATGTTCGGCAGTGGCATGGGGTAGCGCCGCACGCGTGTCAAGACCGGCTCCCGCATGTACTGAAGCAGCTTCTGGCCGCACAGGTAGGCAAGCAGCAGCAGCACGAACGTCTGCAGCACGTAGCGCGACGACCAGCCCAGGGCGGCGCAGGAGGGCCGCATGACGCACGGAGACCACCTCCCCGCGCCACCGCCGACACCGTCAGACGGCCCGAGAACAGTCGGAGCGGCGCGCGGCCGCGGCAGGCTCCTCCCACTGACGCCGGCGCGCCGCCGAACGGTGTGCAGGCCGACCAGGCTTCCGCCACTCGATCGCTTCATGTTTTCAAGGAAAGAAAGAAAACTAAATAAGATGTGTGCCGTGCCATTGCAATGCCAGCCAGTGCATCTGAAAATGTTGCTATAGAAAACGTCAACAGCATCAGCCCTTCGCGCAGTGAAGCAAGCGGAGACTACAACTGTGCGACAAATGTTCGCTGAGGTCCGCTCCATATCGCCGCGATACGGGCCAAAGTAACGGCGATGGTGGCGGCGCCACCAACGCTGACAGTGCCCACCACTTCGTGCGGCAAAGCAAGTGGGCAAATGATTTTCATGACAACTAACTGAGGACGTCCGGTTTCCATTGCCTGTCTGTCTCTCCACACTTTTGTTCAGCTAGAGGCAAAGCGCAGACAACGCCACGGGTTGCTACATTTGCACACCCAAGCTTAACCTTCGTGACGATCCACGGTAAACTTCGGGCCCATCCGGTGCCGGCGTCCAGTTACAGCGCGCCCAAAGGGAGTGGGCATTCAGCAGAGAACACTTCTCGGGTATGTAGGAAAAACGAGCTTTGCAAAGGCCAACTTGTCGAAGGCATTCCGCAAGGCCCGAGTACAGATGAATGCGGTGTCCCCCATATAGACAGGACGGCCAATTAGCGCGACATGGGAGGCTTGGACAGCAAATTAAGACGAGTGTCCCCATCTTTGGAGCATCTTTTGAAAACATGAAGCCTCAGGAGCAGTTATATCAAAGCATAGCACTGAGTAGTGCCACTGCTGTACCGTCAACACATATAAGGATATCGATCTTATTGTTGGCTAGTCCAAATAACGCTGGCAAGGCATTTGTGATGGTACTACCGTGGTTCCCTGCAGTCGCCAACACCGCCGCCGTGACACCGCCGTGGAACCGACCGACGGTATTGGTGCGAACAAAATATGAGTTGTGATTGACCCAGCGGGCGGCAGGATCTGTTGCCGAGAAGCGCACTTGGAAGCCGCAGTAGAAAAGTCACATTTAATCAGAGCCACCGTATAACGTTTTGTTGAATTCGCGAGATAACAGCTTCATGCTCGCTCATCTTTTTGTCTAAACACAGCGCTGCAAGCTGTTGTAGCATTCATCAAACTGTTTTAAAACTAGTGTTCTGTAAACAGTACAAAACGCACACGTTGGAACAAACCAGACAAATTAAGCGCATTTCGTTCATAGTGGTGAGCAGGGAGTCCAATGAGATTTCTCCCGTGCGAGCGGCTAATTCAAGCAAAAATTCTGAGCAATTCAGGAGGATCTTGAGAAAACTGGTTTTACCAATCAAGTCCAGCAAGTCTGATTTAACAATAAGCGAAAAGTATAAAATGTGGCACACTCGTTAAAGGAAAGGTTCCATATTTTAAGATACTGAAGCAAGCATCAGCAATGATGAAACAAGCTCATTTATAGTTATTGGCACACTTTAAGTGGAAA